TAGGACAGGGACAGGGCATGTGAACTTAGGTAGGATCAAAATCCAGGGAAGGCAAGACTGCACAAAAACAGGCCAGTAGGCAATAAGGAGGCAAAGAAACAAGTGAGGTCAAATAGGAGGCTCGTAAGAGAAGAATCACAATTGTATCTTACACCAAGAAAGACCACCACCAGAGTTCTGTTTTTTTCCACAATAATAACAGCACCTTTGGGATATGGGGAGGGAATTTCAGTTGGGAAAATGGCATAGAGAAGGAACAGTTAACTACCTCCTTCTTGAGTTTTGCTCCTCAGATGACGTGTAGTCAGTCTGATTCGATGCCCTTTTAATTAGAACTGTCCCACTGAATTGAAAAAGACTTGGTTTCAAGTAAGTATGCTTGGGATTTCAGCTCTTCTGTCATATCACAACTATAGGAGTACTGTATAACACTGATTCTGTGCACAGATGACTGAATAATTAGGCTGTGATTCTATTTATACTGAGGAGAAAGTAAGCTTCATCGAAATTAATTGCACTTTCTGCCAAATGGAAAAGTTCCAGGTATGAGGATGGCAGGCTGATTGTCCTCAATGCAATTATCTCAAGAGGGCCAAGTGGATTTAAATCAAAGTAGTCTGACTGAATACGTCTGTGGATTGGGCAGCCCATTATGTGCTGGGAATATAGTTGCCTGGATAAAGAACCTAACACTACAGCAGGAGAAAATTGCATTCAGCTAAAGAAAAGGGCCACAGAAATGCATTTTCTTTTAAATAATTGAAATAATGCTGCACAGCTTTTTCTGCACATATGGTTAGTAAACGTCAATAGTAATTTTCTTCTTTACCAAAGGTGATGAGGGCTTTTAGAAGGCCATCACAGAGGGGCATTAAATCCTGTTGTACTGTTGGTCTAACAGCCTGCAACATTATTTTATCCAGTGCTGACTTCTGAAAATATATTCCAGTATAATAAATTGAATATTTCAAGTTCAACAACAAGACAACAACATAGGTAGGGTCCCCTTCAAGACTCATTGGAGCCTTACTCTGGAGACCTAAATCACTCGCACCTTCTTGAGTTATATAGGCCTTTTACACTTGGGAAAGAAAGATAATAATCGCTTATCATGGATGAAGTACCCTATTTATAATACACAGACCGCCTTGCCTGACAGTTTCATATTACAGTGGCATAAGAAGGACCCCACAGGGACACAGTCCAGTTACTGCAAACGGATGTCACTATAATAATTAAGCACCTATGTTAGCACACACAAAGGAAAGTGAGTTCTAACCAATGAGGGAAAAAGAGAATAAATGTTAATTTTCCAGTAACCAGTTTTATCAAATAGGAACACTTGTTTATGCTGCTCAGCTCTCACTTCTTGGCCATTTCTTATTTGGGCAGCTGTGCAGTACAGAGATGTTTCCAATGTGTTACTCAAAGCACAGCATGCAAGAGGGTTTTGTTTTTGTTTTTAAAAAAGAAAGCTCTACTGCTAAGGTTATTAAAATACAGACTGCATTGGTAGCTCAGTAGCAGAATACAGAAAACCATTCTGCAGAATCTAATATAGATGGATCAAGACAAGCTGACTGAATTCTACATCTCTGCATAAAATAGATGAGATGAAAAATTTGATGTTCAGATGTTTTCCCTATTGCTTATTTAAAATAGCTCACCTCTTCCAATTGTTCTTCTGGACCCTAGCAGCAAAACTGGAAAAAAAACACTGTACATATAAATCAACATAAACTTCCAAGTAAGCATGTCCACACAACATTCTTACTAAGGTTCACATGTATGAATGCAACACATCCAGTTCCAGAAAGAGAAAATTTGCCAGCCACCATACCTGCTTACACTGCAGACTCAGGGAGTTTGTCCTACAACTGACACAGTGAATTGCTGAGCAAAACATTCCATATACAGTTGGGACATTTTCTTCACTGCTTACTACATGCCCACTTTCAAGCTAAACTTGTGGCTATGCTATTCTTATGGTTGGGATCACAGCACAAATTTGCAGTATAAATACAAATAATTGCATATATTTGTAAAAGTATTCAGCTGACATTTTTGGGACAGAGACACAGTTTTACTCGGAATGAGCACATGTTTGAATCCAAAGCCAGGATCTGTGTACACTAGGAATCCAATCCTCTTATCAAAGGAGGAAGAATAGGTTATGGGACCAGTATAAGATGGAGGCACAGCTGCTGCACTTGGAAACATGTCAACGCTTCTTTGTGTTACTGAGGAATACTAATACTGTACCAGTTTTTGCCCAGGGACTGACTCTCTGGAACTGGAAAACAAATAATATATAACTGAAACACTGAAGAAAAAGAGGATTGGATTGTGCCCAGCAGTTCAGTAAAACACATGTATTCTGGATAGGCCCTTTAAGGTCAATCGTATACGACTCAGATGAAATACCCACTAGGTAGAGGTAAAGGTTCCCCTTGACATTTTTAGTCCAGTCATGTCCGACTCTAGGGGGCGGTGCTCATCCTGTTTTCAAGCCGTAGAGCCAGCATTTGTCTGAAGACAATTTCCATTGCCACGTGGCCAGCGTGACTAGGGAACGCCGTTTTACCTTCCCATTGAGGTGGTACCTATTTATCTACTCGCATTTACATGCTTTCGAACTGCTAGGTTGGTGAGGAGCTGGGACAAAGTGACGGGAGCTCACTCCGTTGCGTGGATACCCACTACATACTATAAAATTTACTTCTACTGCATTTACATTGGATTAAAACCTTTTAGCCTCATTCAGATGTTCAAAATCTGAATACACACAATTATTGCACAGAGGGATGAGGGATCATATTACCTCTCCTTGCCCCTAACCTCCACTTTATGATTTCCATATGCAAAGACAAAAAGGAGCAACCAGCAGGTAGCACGTGTGTTTAGTCGTTTAGTCGTGTCCGACTCTTCGTGACCCCATGGACCAGAGCACGCCAGGCCCTCCTGTCTTCTACTGCCTCCCGGAGTTGTGTCAGGTTCATGTTGGTTGCTTCGCAGACACTGTCCAGCCATCTCATCCTCGGTCGTCCCCTTCTCCTCTTGGTTTTCAAGCCGTAGAGCGAGCCCTTGTCCGAAGACAGTTTCCATTGCCACGTGGTCAGCGTGACTAGGGAACGCTGTTTTACCTTCCCATCGAGGTGGTACCTATTTATCTACTCGCATTTGCATGCTTTCGAACTGCTACGTTGGTGAGGAGCTGGGACAAAGCAATGGGAGCTCACTCTGTTGCATGGATACCCACTACATACTATAAAATTTACTTCTACTGCATTTACATGGGATTAAAACCTTGAGCCTCATTTAGATGTTCAAAATCTGAATACACACAGTCAATGCACAGAGAGATGAGGGATCATATCACCTCTCCTTGCCCCTAACCTCCACTTTATGATTTCCATATGCAAAGACGAAAAGGAGCAATCGGCAGGTAACACACATAGTAGCGATAATGGGGGTTTCCTATCCTGCTTGTATGTCTATGTGCTGAATCTTAAATATTTCAACATCTGAATACCATCTAATTTAAGGGCTGTCATATGTACAAAGTTCAGTCTTTCATACAGACTGCATTGAGATTAGTACACGTTAACTGACAACATGATGTGTGGCTATGGACAACAGATGTGATGTCATGCTATCCAAGGAAGGAAAACAAATTGTACTCTTAAGGTAATGTACACTCAATATCCACTGCTGTTTTTTTCTTGGAAACATAGTGCCCCCCCCTTATCAAAACTTGCAAATTCTCAACAACTGCTATCAAACAGCTAGCTAGTCTTTAAGGTACCTCAATATTGTAGGTGTTTTTAATGGGGAAAACAAGATTTAACTCTTTGCTAAAGTTCAGCTCCAGAATCCCTCGTCAAAGTTAGAAATTTGGTTTGGAAATTATAAAATACAGTAAAGCAAAGTAAAACAAAGCATATCCAATAACATGGAAAAAGCTGTTCTCTCATCTTTGCGTAAGAAAAGTCCTAAGTAAAACATCTGAAATCGCAAGGAAGTGCATGTTGCTTCTTTTTTGCTAGGGATGTTCCCTATTTTCTGATAAATCGTTGTCCCTAGTTTGCCTTTCTAAGGGCTATTATACATGCTTTTAAGCATATATAATAATATATGCACTGGAGCAAAGGAATAATCCTGTTGAACAAACAATTTTTGTAACTTTGGCAGAAGTTTCTTCCAGACATGGCTTTTAATGTACAATTGCCATGCTTCAATTACCAATTTTACAGAAGGCCTCAATGTCATCCTCTACTCATAACCTGTCCATGTTTTCCCACAAAGGGTGTTTTCAGACAGGCAGCACCTAATGCCTCCCGTTGTCACTCCATCTTTAAAGGAATATCTGCGGAAATAAAAAAGGCAGAGTGGTGGAAAAACATAGGAGGTAAGGAAATAAAACATATTGTTATCTGAACGCCTGTTTAAATTTATGTGCCATCAAGTCACTTCTGATTTATGGCAAATTTTGCTGAATTTTTCTAGGTATTGCATACTCAGAAGTATTTCTGGTGGCACTCTGGGACTGTGTACAGTTTGCGGAAGACTGGCTGTTCTTCGGAAAGCAACAGTGGGGAATCAGACTCCAAACCCATGGTTCCACATCAGGCGCTGTAACCTACTGAACTACAGTATCTAGCCAGTGTCTATGCCTCCCCTGGGTAAAATTGTAGGAATGAGACTTGATGATTGCACAAATAAAAATCTCTTTGAGAAACAAAGATCCATTAAGGAGAGAAAGGGGGAGTGTTTAGTGCTTGGGGGGGAGGAAAGTAATGCCTAAGAACAGTTCCTCTAAGCACCCAAAATTAAACTAATACTTGACTTTTCCCGTTTAACAGAAACCTAGCCTTCCAGTAACCGACCCATGGGTCGATTCTGTACTCCTCTATTTAGAAGCCCTATCAAGTTCAATGAGACTTGTTCCAAACTGACTTTTGAAAGCCAAATCATGAATTTCGGAGCGTATGCAGCAGGGTCCCCGTTTCCATCCGGAAAACACTGAAAGGCGTGAGAATAGGACAGCTCTTTCTAGGCAGGCTTGGATCCCAGGAGCATCCTCTCTAGTCCCTATTTTGAGGGGGGTGGGGGTGTGGAGAGAGAGAGAATAGACGATTGTTCACGATGTCTTTTATTTGACCTTCCCACATCTCAGCCGGGAATTCTCTGCCATGAAACCGTTTTCCTTCTTCTCTCTTCTTGGCACGCATCCCCTGCCCTGCACCAACCAACGCAACTACTGTATCGCCGTGGAAATAATACAAAGGGGGAAATGAGCAAGTTTTAACCCCAAAAAAAGAGGGAAGAAAGGAGAGAGCGCTGGAGAGAAGATAGCACGGCGAAGAAGAAATCGCTCCGACCTGGCCATTGACGTTTAGGGGCCCTTGGCTCTGTCCAGTCCCAGTTTCCTTTCTTGCGGCCACCTAGTAACCCGCTTCCTCTTTGCACGTCAGGATGCCACCTCGGGTCTTCGGCCACACAGCCGGGCGGAGGGTGTTTCCGGCCGGCTGACTTTGAGTGTTGCACCGCGGAGGCGCTGGGCGGGAGTCTCGGTTTTGCAATCGAGGAGGGGGCGAAGAAAGGCATTGCATTTCTTTGGAGGCGCTCGTTATGCCGTAAGTACAGGACCCGCCAAGGATCTCGGCAGGGGAGGGCGCGTCGTGTGAATGCGGCGGTATAGCAGAAGCTGAGCGCTAGACGAGAGTTGGGCTGATGTTTTTTCCCCCCGGTATATTTCCTCGATGTTAACTAAATAGGTTAAGTAAAAGAAAAGCTACCGAAACAAACAAACCCCCCAAACCTGGGGTTTTAAAGTAAACGGATCGAGTTTACTGAAAAGTTCCAGGGGTTTAACAGACGGAATACAAAGACTTAGCCTTGGCTTATGGTAGGAAGAGGCAATGATAGCCACTTCGCCCTCTGAGCATGTGCAAAGTTGTGTTTCCTCCCCCTGACTTTAGAGGTTATTGCATTTCGCGTTTTTTTGCAGATAGGGTTTTTAGACGAAGGGACGTGCAGTTTTAAGTAGATACGTCCAGGAGAAGCCGGAAGGACGAAGATTACGGATTGGGGCTTAACCAACCTGTGCTCTTTTAAGAGATTTTCCCGACCAGCTTCGTTTGAAGTTCGTGGCAGTTTCTGGTTCTCTGTAAAAGTGAAATAAAACAAATTACTGGAAATGAGGGGATCCAAATAGGTATCGCCTGGGGAGACCTGAAGCACCGCGCATTTCGGCGACGTGATTTGGTCAGAATGCTAGCAGACAGTGGTTGTTATTTATATGACAATACAAAAAAAAAATAAAAAGAGAAACGGTGGGGGTGAAAGACAGACTCGAATCCTATAAATGTGTGAGCTATTGCTTATGCAGCAACATGCCTTCCACACTCATTCCCGTGTCGAGGTTAAAGGAAGACTATTTCAGTAAAGTTTAATAAAGCACGTAGAGTGAGAGGGGAAAGAAAAAGGAAATTTCCAAGACACAAAAAGACTTCTGTATTTGATTCTGAACACTGACTCCAGTGTTTCACTTTGCTTTGCACCTCTGATATGACTGGCGTGAGTGTTTGCAAGAAAATAATAAGGTCGCAATGAAGTTTAATCAAGCAAGCTGAGTGAAAAGAAGGAAGAGGGAAAACTGTTCCAGAATGCAAAAAGGCTATCTAAGCAACATAAGTCGTTCGCTTATTTTGCCCTATACGCCTGAGAAATGGGCAGCCCAACAGCTGTGTGTAAAAGAACATCGAATGCATGAGGATTTCATCGGAGCCCTTCCTAGCTCTTCTGTGGTTGGCGTATCTGGAGAAGCTCTTGAGTTTCATTGGACGGTTCAGCTTTCACTCACTTTCCCCTTTGGCCTCAGGAGCTCAGGGCACCAATACCGATTTTCCCTTTCCCCAATTCAAATCATGGACCTTTTTTAACTCTATAAATGCTGAATAGAATATGACCCTTGGGGGGGTGTTGCTTCACCTTGCGGGTGAACTTTGCTGTGTCCTGTAGTTCTGTAATTGTTCTGTAGTTGTTCTTAAGTCATATATGGCATTTTTGCAGGTATACTGTGTTTCCCCGAAAATAAGACAGGGTCTTATATTAATTTTTGCTCCAAAATGCACATTAACACTTATTTTCAGGGGATGTTTTTCCCCCCATGTACAACAATCTACATTTATTCAAATACAGTCATGACATCGCCTTCTGGTTGCTGCACAATGGTGGAGGGTGGGGTTTCACTTAACGGGGGCTTATTTTTGGGGTAGGTCTTATATTACGATCATCCTGAAAAATCATACTAGGACTTATTTTCAGGTTAGGTCTTATTTTCAGGGAAACAGTATCTGAAGACAGTGGACAAGCCTAGTTTTAAGTATGTCTCCTCAAGTGTGTCAGAGTGAGTTAAAGGTGGTTTATTTTCCAGAATTTATTTATTTATTTTCACAGCCTTCGAAATTAGTATCAGAAAGCAAGGGGGGAAAAGGCAGTCACATTTTATTAATGGGTAAGCCAAGAGAGAGAGAAGAGAATGGAATAAATATCCTGCAAAATTTATTTTATTTTATTTACAGCATATACCACTCATCTAGCCAGAGGCCACTCTAGGAGGTTTACAGCATAGCACAGGACAATAAAAGCATCACTACAAATATAAAAGTAAATTCAACTCAATAGAACATGATAGAATACGTATCACAAAATTTAGACATTTAAGCATTTAAAGTGGCCATGTAATATTCTTTCTGCCTGATAATTTCATTGGGGTTCCATTGATGGAACCGAATAAAATGCCTGTCTGAACAGCCAGGTTTTAAAAAACTTTTCAAAAGTTATCAGTGTGGGGACCAGGAGGTAGCTGAGCAATGAAAAGGCCTGGTTCCTAGTTTTCTCCCTCCAGGCCTCTCTCAGCGTCAGCCCCCTTAGACATCCAACGTGGAACAAACAAGTACGTAGGGGGAGCATTTCTCTCGAGAAGAAGGCGTTCTGTCAGGGTCCGAGGTCCTGAACCGTTTACGGCTGTATATGTTAGAACCATCACCTTGAAGCTGACACTGAAACAGACAGGTAACCAGTGTAAGGTGGCCAGAACTGGGTAGATACATTGGTATTTACTAACTCCATGGTAGTTTGGCTACCATGTTTGGCACCTGCTGAAAACTGTTGAGAAGCCCCATTTACAATCTTCACCCTGCTGACACTTATTTTTGAATCCTCTCCAGATTATTATATTTACTCAGTAGTCCCACCTTATGTGCTCCCATGTTGTAAGCTTTCAATATTATAATTTCCATCTAGAAACCATTTGCAACAGTTTCTACGTTCTTGTTATTTGGTTATTCTGTGCAGCAACTCATTCCCCTTTTTGGAAATACAACCTGCTGTTTGTGATTCTGTTGACAGTTGCATGCTGGTGTAGCATGGAGCTGAAATCGGGTAGGTGCAGCACTCTACAGTTTGCATTTTAGATTATTGGGTCTTTGTGTGCACAGTAGTTTGAGTTTCCTCACAATCCAGGCATATTCTACAGATGAAGTGGGATTCAGGGAGTGTCTCTTTATATAAGAATATGAAAAAAGGTCAAAGAGTGTAGTGGTGGAGAGCAACGGATAGGATTAAGATGTTATACAATGTCAAAAGGGAAGCTCAGGGACTTCTTATGAATGTGCATTCTAATGGTAACTTCATACTGTACATGGAAACTTTCCCCTACAGACATAATTTTTTAAAAAACATATAAACTGTTGCCACATTGGGTATAACATCTCATTTGTCCTACAAAGGTTGAAACCGAGCTGTTTCAGCCAGTAAATGCTGAATTTATTCTGACTGCCCTTAAGCTCTTGGTATTTGAAATTTATTCACAAGCTGTTCAGTGTTGAAGTATTATCTCCTGCTAGTGGCTATTGAGTTGTCTCTGCCTATTAAGCAGCAAGAGTTTCCTGGCAACCACACTAAAATGGCTACCTCCCTCAGTGTTGAGGTGTTTTTGTATTTTGTGATTGTTCACCACAGTCAACACCAACAGTATGAAGGGGAACCATTCATTTCTAATAACAATCGTGTGCTGTCAAGCCAATTCTGACTTAGGGTAGTGAATACATAGAAGTGGTTTACCATTCCCTTCTTCTTGGGCGCGCACTGGGACTGTGCTGCTTGCCCAAGGCCATACAGGCTGACTCTACATGTAGGAGGCATAGTGGAGACTCAAACGCCCAACCTCTGGCTCAGCAGCCAGATACCTACACCACTGACAGCCAAAAGGACACCACTCACAAGAGAGAGGTGGTAGGGGGGAGAGAGAGAGTTTTGCAGAAGCATGTTTTTGAAATGAAAAAGCTCCAGAGAGGAGCTCAGTGAACCTGCTCAATGGCCATGGTAGAAAGCTGTCTGGTTGTTGAAGTGAGGAATAAAGGGGATGTGGAATGGAGCATAATGGAGGGGACCATAGCTAGCTGGCTGGCTGGAACCTTGTGTTGTAGAGTTTTAAATTTCTGGTAAAATTCCTTTTGCTATGCAGTAGAAGTACAGAGGATGTGGTGGCGCTGTGGATAAAACCGCAGAAGCCTCTGTGCTGCAAGGTCGGAAGACTACTAGTCGTATGCCTCTGTGCTGCAAGGTCGGAAGACTACCAGTCGTAAGATTGAATTAACATGATGGAGTGAGTTCCTGTTGCTTGTCCGAGCTCCTGCCAACCTAGCAGTTCGAAAGCATGTAAAAATGCGAGTAGATAAATAGGTACCACCTCAATGGGAAGGTAACGGCATTCTGTGTCTAGTCATGCTGGCCACGTGACCATGGAAACTCTACAGACAAATGCTGGCTCTATAGCTTGGAAATGGGGATGAGCCCTGCCCCCTAGAGTTGGACACGATTAGACAATTGTCAAGCGGAACCTTTACCTTACAGAGACTCATAGAGGAGAATAGCTACAAGTTCCGCAGAGCCACCCCTTTCTGGTACTTAAGGTCTCAGTAACTTATTGTAGAGGAGAATAGCTACAAGTTCCCCAGAGCCACCCCTTTCTGGTTCTTAAGATCTCAAATTGTGAGACATTTGTAGAAGAAAGAATTAAAAAACACATTTTTTTACTCATAATTTCTTGAAATTGCTGCCTTGTGCATGCTGCTTTCTTTATTGCATGTATAGTGGCAAGCAACTGGACAGATCAACAGCAAACAGACAACTGCCACCAATTAAAGAAAGAACACTCAGCAGAGAGGTGGGGCTCTCTTTAAATTCAAGACTGGAAGAAATAATTGGTTACTGCTGGATAGACAATCACCCCAGCCCAGAAAAGTCCCTCCCAGTCAAACAATCTACAGACAGCGTGCGAGGTTGCTAAGAAATAATTGGTTACTGCTGGATAGACAATCACCCCAACCCGGAAAAGTCCCTCCCAGTCAAACAAGACAGCGTGCGAGGTTGCAAATAAAACTCCAACACCCTGAACAGGAGCAATATACATAGCAGCATTGTTGCTGGGAATAGTTTGAAATGGCTGTTGTATACACTGCTAACTTTGGTGGACTTGTGAGTCAGACTCAGTATACTGTAGTAGCAAGAAGCCGCTGTTGCTGTTTTTGAACATTGTTGCTGGGAATAGTTTGAAATGGCTGTTGTATACTCTGCTAACTTTGGTGGACTTGTGAGTCAGACTCAGTATAGTAGCAAGAAGCCTCTGTTGCTGTTTTTGAGGACCACCAGAACATGGAAATAGCAAGTTATACATAGATAACACTGTTACCTATAACTGGTTACATTTTTAAAAATTTTACAGAAATTAAGGAAAAAGCCATGAGCATTATGGCAACACTGTTACCTATAACTGGTTACATTTTGCAAGTTACAAGGATACAATGGTTACATTTAAGAATTAAGAGGGTGGGCATGGTCAGTTTGTTGGTGCACTGAGCAACATTTTCTAACTATCTAGTTATCGATTCTAAATTTTTAAAAATTTTACAGAAATTAAGGAAAAAGCCATGAGCATTATGGCAAGTCATGTAATCAGTCACTTTTTGCAGCGGTAATGACTGTTGCAAGTTACAAGGATACAATGGTTACATTTAAGAATTAAGAGGGTGGGCATGGTCAGTTTGTTGGTGCACTGAGCAACATTTTCTAACTATCTAGTTATCGATTCTAAATTTTTAAAAATTTTACAGAAATTAAGGAAAAAGCCATGAGCATTATGGCAAGTCATGTAATCAGTCACTTTTTGCAGCGGTAATGACTGTTGCACTTTAAAACAAGTCATGTAATCAGTCACTTTTTGCAGCAAGTAATAATGACTGTTGGACTTTAAAATGTACAGTAACTATGTTCAATCAGTTAGTGATCCAGTAAAATATATTACCAACCCTTGTTTTTTGGTATTAGCTAAATTTAGACCCCATTAACAATGACAATGGCAGGTCATGACTTTAAAGTCCTGTTGATTCCAAAGGAAACCAACAATGAGCTATACGTGATCCAGTAAAATATATTACCAACCCTTGTTTTTTGGTATTAGCTAAATTTAGACCCCGTTAACAATGACAATGGCAGGTCATGACTTAAAGTCCTGTTGATTCCAAAGGAAACTAACAATGAGCTATACATTTTTTGTATTTTTATTTGGAAGCAGAGGTGAGTGAATACAAGAGGACTTACTTCAGAGCAGACACTCATAGGACTATGTTGACACACTTTATTGAACCCAGAGTCAGTAACAGCCCAGACTAGGAATCTCCTTGGAAGGTTGGAGTGATCTTCTAATGTGTTTCATTTGTTCTGTTTCCTATTTGGCTGCTTGGTTTGAATGACAAGTCATCCTGTCTTACACTGAATTTACTAACTCCTGCTGAAATTGTATTACTGTAGAAGGCAACATCTGCACAAAATACCTGCAACAAATGCTCTCAAAATAAGATCCTCCCGCCCCAGTTGAAACTTGAATTCAGTTTGCCCACCCCACGCCTGCTTTAGATCCATTGCCTAAATACATAATGATGCTTGTTATTTGGAACACTGCTGAGACTACCCTAAGATTACTAAACTGCATAAGCAACAACCAAGATTTTGCCTTTCCTGCTGTAATAGTCCTTTCTTGGAATACAAATGGCTGGGGTGATCTCAATTATTTCTGAATTTACAGTGTCTCCACAGGCAAATGAAGGAAAAAGTGGGCACACTGTAACTCCACTACCATCCCAATACTGACAAGTCACTGACAGATTTTAAATAGCATAATGCTTGACCACTCTGCGATTTTTGTCAGGGTTTTTTTTTCCTAGGTTGCTATAATTTAATGGGATTTCCACGTACCTTTTCATTTATCCTAATCATAAAGCCACCTTGAGTCCAGATTCAGCTGTACTTTGGCTTCCAGCTTCCTTTGAAGTCTGTCATAAAAACTTCCATCATAACATGCCTTAGTGTAGCATGCAAATACATGGTCCCCTAGAGCACCTTTGCAGAGTGAATGTATTAATGTATAAAATGTTTCTCCGCTGCCACTGGGGTGGAAGATGTAATGGAGTCTGCATTCCTTAAGCAGTATGAAGCACTATATTTAAAAAGAAACATGCTATTAAGAATTTTGTCAAACTGCTTCAGCTTTGATTGTCCCTTGGCAAGAATGTAGTGGCTTTATAATATTTTTTAGAAATGTAAATCTTATGCAGTAAATTGTTTCTATTTTTAAAGACAGTGATCCTTTTGCAGCATCAAGATGTTAAGTCAGAACTAGCATACAAATTAATGGTATACAGATGCTTTTAAACTTTCCTTCTACATTTTAAGTGAGGCTGGTTCCAGCTGTGGCCCTCTTTGAATATCTGGCCATTTATGTTTCTCGATTTAGGTGTGTATTAAACCTTTGTAGCCTCTTCAGCATTGAGATCTTTGGTTACTAAATCAAAATTGCCTGTTTCCAACATGGTGCTTATGCTGATCTGTTCTGAAATGAAATGCTTTTGCAAACCTTGTTTAATCTAAAATAATCTTCTGAAGCTTTTATTGGATGATTTTAAAGGTTTTTAGTTGCTTATATAAAAAAAGGCCTTTAACTATTGTTTAAGATTTAAGAATGTACTTTGAAAGTTGGAGTTGTCTCTGGGAAAAATAGTCTTAATTTATGTTGACCTTTCTTTCCTTTGAGTATTTAGTCTGCATTCAATAAAATTTTGATGACTGCTCTTTAGAAGACAGCTGTATGGTGTAAAGTATTATAAATATTCAGCTTTCCATTCCTAGTGTTGCCATTAACAGCTGGGCATCCAGTTCAGCAGAACAGATTTTACAGAGGAAGCCTGGCATGTTCTGAATCAGTATAGTGAAGAACACCAGAAAATAGTTTCTTATGGTTTGGGGACCTGTAAAGGCATAGAGCATCTGTTCCCTAGTTAAGTCGTAGTCTAGTAGCATTGAATCATGTTAAGAGCTAAAATGATGAGAGAGCTCTCTTTTTCACCTTGAGCGTACATTGTTTAAATGCCTAGTACATTATTTTTGTGAATGGCAAAATTATTGCAGCACCTACGCTAAAGGTAAGTCCTTGGGCATGTCTCTTGAATTATATTCTTAATTCATATATGGCAGGAAACCAGTATGTTTTTAATTGTTTTAAATACTTTGGCATTGATATTCTAAACTGTCCTGGCTTGTCCCAGTTTGCAGAATTGTAAAAGTGGAGTTTGGGCTGGGAAACTGAGAAGGATATGATCCAGGCTTCAAAGCCCTGTTCACTAGGTGGTTATTATATTTGCCTTCTATAGGGTATTTCCTGTAGTGTTAACAACGTAAGCTGACTGTAGGTGGGTTGTAACCATCTATATTTGAGCTTCTTGGCAGAACATTTCTTTTGGAAGAATAATTAAACATGATTTCCTTCAATTTCTTTTCTAGTGCTAAGAGGGCTCTGAAGTTGGATAGCTTTATCATGGGAAAGGTAAGTTTCTGTCTTTGCATTTGTGATTGTGTCTTCCTTTCCATTCTTATGATAAAATGTTTTGTAGGATACGTATAACTGACCAGTAGTTCACTATTGTAAATTACTTGGCAATGTCTAGTAAAGCATCACTGAATGTGGAGAATAAATGACTGCCAGATATCTTTGGGAGAAAAAAACTCTTATATAATGTTTTGATTTTTGTCCTCCTGAAGCAACTAGCTATGATAGAAAGACTTCCAGTGTGGGATATCTTTTCTTGTTGTTACATACACACTGCTGTCAAACATTGAATGAGCTAGGAACCTTGGTGAAATCATTTATTAGAAATTAGTTCCATAATTGGTGGAGCAAATGCATTGCCATCTCTCTGTACGTATAACAATATGGGATTGTGATAATGCTGTAATCTGCATATTATAAACTGCCAAACTGAAATGAAAACATTAAAGACATTTTTATGTTGAGACTGTAATTACCTCTCTCAGCTAATCTAACATAATGAAACAATAAAATACTAACACTGCAATAAATTTCCCCTACAGTTATCACAATAAAAATAAAATTGTACTGTTGCTGTGATATCTTTCTCTTTTTGTTACATATTTCCAATGCCAACATTTCATGGCATATGCCAGTTTATTGTGTTCCAATACCAACTGTGGGTGTTGCTATGAACACTTATAGAGAGGGGTTTGTTAGGCAGGTAGCCTTAAAAAGAAACTAAATTGGTAGGGAAGCACAGATACCTAAACAGTAGGTCAATAAAATGAGCCTCCTATTTTCCCTGCACATGCCAACAGTTTTGTTATAGATGGCAGCCTTTAGAAGGCTTAATGTCATTTTGGCAAAATTGGAAACTTTGCAGTGTTAAAAATATTCTGTTTTTTTTAAAAAAAAATTTAAACAAAGGTGACAAAATACAGTAGTGGCACTAACAAAAACCATTAACAGTTTAATTAGCAATTTAGTTTTCCATTACCCACCTTGTTGTGCTCAGAATACAGCTGTGCCTGTAATTCTGCATCTGCTTCCTTGGTCCGAGTATCATTTTTGGAGGCAAGCGTTGCAGCTTGAAATTGTTTTGTTCCACCCCAAGGCTGCTTTTGCCTTCTTGAAATAGAAGTTAAAGGAGAAAATACATATTTTGAGAACAACAGTTTGGGATGTTTATAGTTACAAAATATCTCCGCAGAAAACATGAGGTTTTAGCAGGCTAACAACAATTCAATGACAGCATTAATGACAACAGCTATGGATAGATTGGGGAGAATTACATTTTTATGTTGTGCAGATGCAACATTCAGATTTGAAAGATGCTTGAAATGGTTGAAAACAGAGGGGAATGAACAACAATTTGAAGAAATGCAAGGTTTATGTTGGATGTGTTTCTCAGAAGTAGCTTACTTGAACAAGTATGGTGATATATGGAGGAGAGAGTATGTACAAAGGGAAAGTATAGTTAGTGGGATTGTGTAAGTTTCAAGATGTGACCATGAAAACAGGTTTTGCTTATTTATTGTTTTCCTTCCCTCCTCCATTTCCTTTTAAAATGATATATGACAAACACATTGGATTTAAACGACAATGCACTGGATCCTGGGATTGTCTTGTTTGGGGCCATGGGGGAAGTTGAGTTTTTAATTTTTAATTTGTAAACTGTCCAGAGTACTGTATTCAGTAAAGAAGCAGTAAACAAACAAACAAATAACCACCTTTGTACAGTTTTAGCAAATATTAGGTGCTTTGTATATTAATAATAATGTTAATAATAGTCTAGCAGCAGAAGAAATATAATTTGTGTGAACTTTGTTGGTGTTGGGTGCGTTTTTCAACTCCAGTGTTGCTTTGAATGAAACATTAATATCTCACTGGGTTTTCTTTTGACATTTATAGGCATTTTGAATGGAAAATGGACTCTGATGAAATAAGATATTTATTAAGCTAACAAAAAGGATGGGTACCAGTCATAATTATGAAAAAAAAAACATTATTCCTTCTCTTCCAAGGAGATACCTCTTCTAAGATGACACCTGCCACAACACAGTCGCTTTACCTAAAAATGAATTTACGTCTTTCCCTCTAGTAGGGAGGGAAAGATAATACTGTATATATAATATAAATAATGTGTGTTGATCTAATCAGTCAATCAGCTAAAATAGATATGATTAATAGACTAGGATATTTAAGCAAAGCAATCTTATACATATTTATTCAGTAGTAAGTGCCACCATGTTCACTTTAGCTTATTGCCTAGTAAGTATTTTAGGATGACAGCCTTAATCATGTGATGGTCTTGTTAATTAGACATATAATTCATGGAAGCCATCTCCACCTATTGAAGACTTGCAAACATAAACAGAGTGTTTTTGTTCATTTACAGCGTAGATCCATATATGGAGGGTTGTGTTTTTTAATACAGCAACAATAACAGCAGCAGCAATAATAATAGTATGAGATCTTCAATGTTGTATTATCTGCCTGGGTTCTTAGATTAGATGCTTTGCAAATTTGCCTATTTTTAAAGTCATGCTTAAGACTTTGCTAGAACAACTTTTTAGAACTGAACTTGAACATTCCTGTAAAGAAAGATAAATTATTTGAGGATATACAGGGGACATTTATTAGAGCTAGTGGCTAATAAATAGCACAGTCAAGCATATGTTTTCTTGAATGAAAGTAGAGGTTGCTTCCAAGTAAATACAGTGGTGCCCCGCATAGTGACGATAATCCTTTCTGGATAAATCGTCGCTATCCGGAAACATCGCTATGCGGGGGGAAACCCCATAGGGATGCATTAAACCCTGTTTAATGCGTTCCTATGGGGGGAAAACTCACCACTGTGCAAAGATTCCCCATACGGCCGCCATTTTCGCAGTCTTGGTAAGTGAGGTAAGGACGCGACAACGCTGCAGGCGGCCATTTTCTTGGAACTGCCGATCAGCTGTTGGGGAAACATCGCAGTGCAAAGATCGGTAAGCGAAATGCTTACCCATCATCGCAATGTGATTTTCGCCCATTCAAAACGTCGCAAATCTGCACCGCTATGCAGATTAGTTGTTAAACGGGACGCTCGCTATGCGAGGCACCACTAGTAAAAGGTTGCATTGTAAGTATTCATTCTGTTGCTCCAATGTCATAGAGACCTCTTCAAACAGCAGTTCTACATACCTGACCTTGTGACTCTTAGGGAAGTTCCATTCGGATATTTTGGATTCCAAATTCAAGAGTTCCCTAAGCAGAATCCTGGGAATTCCAGCTAATATGCCCACACCTGCAGACATCTTCAGACATCTTTATGTCATTTACCTGGAACTGAGCTGTCTTGAAGCATCCATGTGTGCCATGATACTTTTCATATGGCATAGTTCTTTGGGTGATGCCCTCTGTAGAGCCTAAAGGGTACTGACACTATAAAGTGTGTCAGAAAGCACCATGGCAATTTTTTTTTTGTATATTAACAGCAAGACGTTGGCCTGAGACAGGCATGGAGAGATGGAACTTCCAAGGCAGACCCTGTTCCAGCTGAGCAAAATATAGATGCCTGAAGGTCTCTGTAGGTGTGGGTCTGTCAGCTGGAACTCCTAGAATTCTGGGTGAAAGACTGGGAGGGAGGTGAGAAGAATGGTGTTCCAACTTTTTTGGGGGGGGCATGGCTCATTTGTTATGACATGTTTCTTTTTTGCTTTTAAAAATTAAAGATACAAATACATATATTTATATTTTACACATCCACATGTAGTAATTTCTTCTGTGAGAGCAAAGCTCTACAGTACTTCGTCAGATGATGATAGAAAATGCAAAGGACTTATGATATTGCAAGTTGCAAGTGAGAGATAGCCAATGTTAATGAAAGACTTACAGTGCAGAGATGCATGGCTTGAGAAAACATGGACAGCACCTCAGCTACCTCCTGGCTGATAATGTTGCTAAGCAACCATTGAACCTGTGGCTTAAATTAGGCCATCGTCAGGCTGAAACTGAGTGATCTAAATTAGGCCATCTTCAGGCTGAAACTGAGTGATCCGTATGCACAATCCAAGATCAAGTTATTTATACTAGATACCATCAGAAAATAATTGTGAAGCAGAGTATATGTGATATAATCCAATGAAATAAATTATCATGTCACAGTTAGATACCCTAAGTTATCATCAACAATATGTGCAGGTGTAACCAAATTATAAAGATCATTTTTGAGCAGTTGGCTAATTCTTATGACTTTCATCTTTTCTTCCACATTATAAATTCCAGCCACCTCCAGTTTTAGAAAACACAACTGCAATACTGTATTGGGATAAGCAAGTTGTCAGGGATGAATTGACTCCTAATTTTCAGGCTCCTAATTTTCACTCCATGTACCGGCAACACTGAGAAATAAGAAGTGCAGTACAACAACAACAATGTGCTGTCAAGTTGATTCTGACTTATGGTGATCCTTTCCATGGTGTTTTAGGTTACAGTACTCAGAAGTGGTTTGCCATTTTGTTCTTCTGGGGGCACTATGGGGCTATGCAGCTTGCCTAAGGAGGCTCTTCTTCTAGGAGGCACAGTGGGGAATTGAACGCCCAACTTCTGGTTCCATAGTCAAATGTCCAGTCCACTGAAGTATCCAGTCATATGTGTCTACATTCTCTCTATCTGAAGAAGGTTTTTTTAATCAATGAAAGCGCACACTGAATTCAATCTGTTAATCTTTAAAGTGACACAATATTTTGTTTTCTCCCTTTTCTTTTGCCCTTTCTTTTCCCCCTTTTAATTTTCCATCAGGATGAGACAGACACTTACATGGCTATTTCTTTGGCAACTTAAAAAAATCAGTTTGTGAATCAGGGTTTAGAGAATTTGCTTTAAAAAAACAGGAAATAGTTCTGTATGACATTCTTGTTGTGACATTATTCACATATGGCACATTGGCCGGATTCCATGCTGTATCAGTAGCAGTTGAATAAAGAGATTCTGTTGATGAGGGGATCATGTGTGAAGCAACCACATCAATGCTGTATCTCCCTGGGGCCTGGCAGTGCTGATAGGGCGGGTTCCCACATGATTCTTTCATCTAGACATTATTAATGCCACGTGGGATCCACTGGAACCAGCAATTACTAGCAGACTGCTAATGTTTACATTGGGTCTTCATCTGTGGATTAACTCAGATATGCCACAGGCCATTCAGCTGTCTGTGGCTGTATTCTAATTTCAGATTACAAAACGGAGCAGTTTTTGAAGTTTGACTTTTCACACACAATTTCAGAAAACTCTTAGGCCAGAGAGAAATGCTATCTTTCAAAGATAGTATAAGTGGAAATTTATTAAAATGGACAGTGTTTTGATCTGTTCAGGATGTTTCTAAAGAAGGACATTTTGTCCTGTACGGCCATAATCAGTGGTTGCTGGATGGTTGGGGCCCACATATTTGTGGGCAACAGTGTCAAAGGCAGCAGTGGTTGGGTCCAGGGCTCACTATGGGTGCAGCCAGTACTTGCTTTCCCCTAGCCCTCTTTTCATATGTGCGCGTACACACACACACACACATACACACACACACACAGAGCGAGCCTCCAGATGTATATTCAGTCACACAAACATTTTCCCTTGCCATCTTAGTGCGTGGAAATGGGAAGGTCCCATTTTTGACACCCACACGCCCACAAAGCACAACTAGAAACCATACCGCTTGTGCTCTGCTGTCCACATTTCAATCATGCTCCTGCTAAGCAGCTGTTTGGTTGGCCGACAGGAGCATAGCTGTTCTAGAGGGGACAGTCATTCTTGTATACTGTCCTCTCTGTTTAAATTGTGCTCCTGCCAAGCAGCTATTTGGTGGGCTGGTGAGAATGCAGCTGTGCTGGAGAAGCATGTGAAAAAATTCTTGGGGTTCAGTGCATGTGCTATACGGCAAACCTTGGGACTATTTATACAGCTCCAGCTTTTAGTTCCTAATTTAAAAGATAATTGAAGCCAGAGGGCACATTTGTTTATTTAAAATTGCTTTTGTTTTTCACTAATATGATAAGCATAGTCACATCTATGGCCATTCATATTTTTTAATATCAAAATCTATACAACATTCAAGGAGGATGCATGTTTAGTGTATGGGTTTCAAATGAATTGTTGTTTCTGCCTACAGTGCTAAACCTCAGACCCGTGTTACCAGCACAAGGGCTAAAACTAGTTTATTCTGCCAATTGGCATGCTCCACTTTTCATCCAGAGTCCCTGAAACTGTATCAACAGAGGCATGATGATAATCTCTCGAGAGAAAATGTATAGGTAGCCATGTGGATTGTGAGAATTAAAAGGGAGAATATAAAAATGCATCTTGCTGCATTATCTTGCTCTGTTTTATTATTTATTATTATTTAGGTGCCCGCAACACCACAGGTGAGCAGCAAGAAAAATCATCAGTCTTATTCACCAACAACGGGAACATGCCTAATGAGTCCATTTTCAAGTCCCAGGAGCAATAATATACAAGAGCAGAGAAATGGCCTATCAAAAGGTTAGTTTAACATTCTCTTCTACTTACTACAGAATTTTTCTGGTTATTGACCAAGTCAAATTCTTGATCTAGTAATTTATATCTTATGTCGTAGTTCTGATTTCTCTTTTTCTTTTTCTCCTTTCTTTTCCCCCCCTGAGTGTGAGGTTGAATCTTTACAAAATCCATCTTTTTTTGAATATCTGTGATGAAGCTGAACCTTGGAAAACATATAGTATTTAGACTACTTTCCCTATTCATCAAAGAGAGTAAAAAATATTCCTATCATTTGAAACCTCACCAGATATTAACCAGTTTAATGCTGGTGTTTGTTAAATCAAAGGACTACGTTGCCTTAGAAATATGTTGTATCCTATTTTTATAATGTCCCGCTTTGCATTGGCACATCTGTCATTAATCTTATGCAAATAATTTTACCTTTCACGGGCAGTCTGTATCATGATACACACGTAATTTCTTCACCTGGTTTATACAGATACTTTCCAGTTAACAAGTTATGGCATCAAATTTTGGACAATGCAAGTTAATTATGTCCTCCATACATTACATAGGTCTCAATAAAAACATATTATCAAAATTTCATCCTTTTGAAAAAAATATATCTGCTTATCTCCAAAAGATGTCATAGGCTTCATTTGATTACTCACTATCAATGATTAGAGTATTATGGAGCATTTCGAACTGGAGTTCCAGAAGATTTTTCAGTTCCCTAAATAAAATATGATTTGAGTTGGCCTAGGGTACTTAAGCTGAGTATTGGATACAGTGATTAGAGATCTGACTAGAACGAGAGTTCAAATCCGTATCAAGTCCAAAGGTTTGTTTTGTGACTTTTAACAATTCACTATCTTTTACCCTGAGCTCTCTTCCTGCAAAGATGTTTGCATCTTGGATTGTGGATCTAAAAAACATCGATGGACAGCGCAAAATCTTAACTGGAGATTAACTTAACTCCCAAGCTTAAGAAGAGAATTGAGATGCTGCTTTCTGCACTTGTTGAAAGTGACTAACACTTTACTCACAATTTTGGTTTTTATTTGACTTTCATAGGTCAAAGGTAAATTCATAACCTTATCATGTATGGATTATAATGTCTATTTGGGTTTTTTTAAATGAATTAATAAGACATGTATGTATTGTTACCTCATACTACCTGAAATAATTACACAGAAAAAACGGCAATCTTTTGACGGCTAGAGCACTTAGCTGATCTGGATCCAACTTGTCTTGCTTATGAATATTTATTTTATTTACTTAAAATATTTTTATCCTGCTTTGCTCCTTAAGAAGGACCCAAAGGGGCTTACATCAGTAAGTATACAAATACTAAAAAGGGTCAAACAAATACCACACCAAAAACTCATTCAAAGCAATACAGCACAACAATCCAAACCCCCACTCAGAATGTATATATATATTTATTGGCTAATTAAAACAATAGCAACAACTTCAAAGCTTGTTTATTGACATCCATCTGATGTTACTAAAGAGTTTTACAAAACTATGGTTCATTTGGAAAGGGAAGTTTCTCATTGAAAAGCTGAGCATTGAGAAAGTTTCTGCCTTGCATTATTGTTTGCGATAACCATGTCTAGAAACTGGTGACTTCATTTCAAAATGTTTTATTTAATGGAGAGTTGAATACTGTTGGAGCTGTAAAGTATTTCTCTCTTGTAGAGAAATACATTTGCTTTTGTGAATACAGATCAAATCTAACATGTACAAATCTAAATGTAACTCTATTACATGATTATGCATTTTCATCCACCAGCAATTAATGGGAGCCCTTAAAACTTTTTATCGCTCACCAGATTTCATCAGTTTTTCTTGAGTTGCTAGAAACAGTTGCATTTCTTTTCTGTGTCATGTCTTTAAGTAGTTTCTGGAAGAGTGTAGAATATGAGTGAGCAAATCACTGAAGTGTTGAAATGAACATACCATTGGGAATATTCTCCCTGAAGAATTTTAAACTTCCAGGAATGCAGCCTCAACAGTGAACAGAAGGTGGAATGTGATCTACTGGTGGACTTCTGTATGATTTGCTGTAGCAAAGATTTGTTTAAAAACAGTAACAACAAAATTACATTTCTTTGCCCTGCTTTCCACTGCTGAAACGAAGAAATCAGGGGGGAGGATCAGGCCAGTTGGGCCAAATTGTATTAATTTTAGGCACTCAAGAGAGTTTGTTTTTGCAACAGGCTCTCGCTGGTGGTGCCGAAGGTCCTAACTCTCACAAGCTTAACGCATTCCCACCCTTGAATTCCAGTGTTGGAAAGAAACCCCAGCTTCTTCAGTCGAGGGAGGGAAAATATTGACACAAATTTATGTCCAACTTTCCGATATCAAGTGAGGTATCTCACTTAGCTGGAAACTAAATAGTTAGTTTCCAGCTTTACAGCCACCTGATTCTATTCAGGCTTACATTAAATTTTAGGATAATTCCTACATAGCAAGTCATTAAGCTCTCAAGCTTATCGGCAAAGTGTATAGTCTGGGCTGAGACAGATAGAAGCTTGTTGTGATGGAGATAAATGTCAGCAACAAGTTTCATGTTTTCAGTGGCTGATCTATTCTAACTCACTCATGATTTTAGTCTAGGTCAGGGATGTGTAATGTGCCGTTTATGGGGCTCATGTGGTGCCCCCCCCCCGCTATATCTGTGACCCTGAAGGTGATCTGATAGCCTCTCATAAAATGAAACTTAAAGATTTTTTTTAGAAACCTTATTGCCATCCTGACGGCCTCAAGGAGTAGGAACTTTTGCAGTGCTGCTTGGGTGTATGTTAAAGCCCCCCAAACTTGAACTATTTCAGTTATTTTAAATAAGAATGTCTGAAAACAGCATTGCTGGAATTTAAGTGGTGTGTCACATGGTCTTGGGACAAAAAATGTGCCCCCCCCCATATTTGCTCAGATTGTCCATATCGTGTAGACAAGAGTCTTAGACCGGATTCTTTCTCCTACCCCTTTCATTACTACTGTGCCTTCTGCTATGGCTTGTGATCATTCCAGGTTTTTTTATTGAATGCGCATGCAAATGTTATGAATTAATTGGATTTTGTTCTTTGTCTCAAAAATGGATCACATGGCATTTTCACTGCTTTCCCCCCTTAGAATTCCTAGAGGTCCTTTCTGGTGCCCTCCCTCCTTCCATGGTTTTAGATAGGTTTTGAGTTTCTGGGTGTTGCTCCATTTTGACAGGGTACAGTAGAGGGAGCTAATTGTCTATATAGATCAGCTCTTAAATCTCATCAATCACTACAATTTGGCAGCAGTCAAAACCCAAGTTAGTCATCAAAGCATATGAAAGAGCTATTCCTGCTCCCATTGCATAGGAGCAGCATGCATTCTGTTTAAATTGACCAGATTATTCAATCTAGGAGTTGTAGAAAGGGAGAGGAGATGGTCTAGGACTTCATGTACATAATCTTGGCGAGTTAAAAAGAGATATCAGTTGCACATTATGTGCCATGTTAAATACTGCATCTGTTTTATATGAATGGGCCACTTGGCAGTTTAGAAGTATGTGGAGGTGTGCCTTTGGTTAGTTGATCCTGTCCCATTTAATTGATAACAGATGTATGTGACATTTACAGTAAAACTATGCAAGGTATAACATTGAAATGGCAAATTCTGCTATTGGTGGATTTAAAAAAAGTTTTGAACCAATCTTCTGTGGGCTAGATTGTACAAAATTTGCTTTTACCACCCACACATGATTCTCAGTTTGTGAGAATATGTAGGGGAAGAAAGATCTGTTGGAATTTTTCACATGCTTTATTTCTGACAAAAAAGGGAGAAAATGCCTGAAGGAGTGAAATGCCTGTGTATTGGGATGTCAAAGGCAAAGGTGAGTGTGTGCTATATTTCCATATTGTAATTAAATATGGGCATAAGGGAACAGTCCTTTTGCACATAAAAAGGGAGACCACGTGTTTGCAGCTGACATTTAGATGGATAATTATTCAGCAAAGTAGCAATAGCTTTCCATTTCTACTTTCATCAAGTACATAATGGTGGCAAGGATTCAGATTCCAAATTCTTACTTTTCCCCTAAATATCTTAAGTTTTTCTTCTTGAAAATCTATTTAATTATAAGATTTATGTGTTATTGATATACGGGTGAACACAATAATGTATCTTGTGCTTTTTATTATGCCAGAAGTATAAAAATAGGCAATTTAAGCCTGAAACAAAAGCTTTTAAAGAAAACCTTGAGGAGATTTCCACTTACTATCTTTATTTTTCCCCTGGCTTTGAGCCTTCACAAGTGAATTGAATAACAATTGCAACACAAACCCTACATTCATTTTTTCAGGGAAATTATAGAGCACACTGATCATCTTATTTTATATGGTATTGTGTCCTTATTGTTTAGATTAAATACTATACGATATGATGAATGCAATTCTTGGATTAAACAATGAAATTCAGTTGTATCAGATACCTGTCGGTTGATAAGCATGATCTGAGTGCTTAAATTTAGATGTTTTGACTTTTAATAAATTGTTAAAGAAAATGTTTTCTTAAATGTGTTAATATGTGTTCTTAAATGTCTTAATAGCAGTTTGCAAAATATTCAAAAAACAGTAAATACCAAACAGGATCAGAATTGCTTGCATGCAGAGGAATGGTGAATCAAACAGATCTTAGACCAGTAACTCAGTTAACCAGAGTTTTTTATTCCTTAGATGAGAGAAGGCTGTATAGAAATCATTTGTGGTGTTCTAGTTCTTAGTGCCTTAATTCACATGCATCAGACTTAATAGTGGTAATGTGTTAATCAGAGGATATACTCTGCACATGCTTCCGAGCATTTTATCTTTTTTTATGATATTCCAAGGTATTCAAAATAGGTTTCATTCAAACCTGTAGTGAATCATGACCCAATTCAAGGGTCATTCGAAAATGGGCTGATTTTCCTGAGACCTGCAGAGAGAGCAGGAGAAAGAAAAGGGGATATAATCATGCAGTGCTACTAATTTTGCCCACTTTAACTTAGGTTATATGCACCGTCTGGTTTGGCTCCGCCCATCTATGGCTGCAATTCTGAGTTTTCCCATGGGTCAGTAGCCCTTCATAAGAGAAAAAGGTTCCTTTCCACTGAAAAGATTTTTATGCAGCAGTACCTCAGGTTCACAAATTGCATAATTGCTTGTTTTTGAGACCAAGATTACTTCTAGACTAGAACTGTACATTTCTGTTAAGAGTTCCTCCTCCACACTTAGCCAGAAGTAGAAGGAAACTGAAGGTTCCATTCTGTTCTTTAATATAGCACCATAATAATCATAAATGCCATTTCCTTGCTGTTAAGAAGAAGGAAAGAATTCAAGAAAACCAGAAATTAAAGCTTTCCTCTCTTACTGTGGAAAACTGTCACAAGGCTCTGAAGAGAGGCCATCTAAGCATAAATAATAAAAAAAAATTCCCCCACATGATCAGCAAGGAGCAATAAAACAGGGTAAGTGCACAAAAAAGGCGAAGTTCAAGTGAAGGCACAAACTTGAAGAAAGCCTCAGTAATCTCTTCATAATGGTCTTTTGGGTGATGCAGTAGCACCTTGTAACAAAAATTTTCCTAGGAATCATGGCAAAAAAACCATTAAGAGTGCAGTTAATGAGATAGTTGTTGGGTGGATGGTCCGTAAAAAAGGCCTGAGCAGAAGATGTCCAGAGAAGAAAGCATGTTTGGAAACAACAATGGAACTGAAAGACACTGTAAATACTTGGTTTTCTCCAGGCTTTAGATTATGCCGTTTTTGTGCTGTAGGAAAAATAAATATGATAGATTTCAACCAATTGGTGCTTCTTAGAGTACAGCCATTGCCAACCGTCACATTGGGACTGAATAGGCCCACCAGAGCCCAACAACAGAGAAAGGGTTCTACCAGAGATAGAGGAAGAGGGAGGTGCCAGGACAGGAAACTCCAGGGGTTGATGGCAGATCACTTCTGGCATATGCCCAGTGATGTGATCCTGGCTAAAGTGAATCAAATGAAAAGTATGGTTTCTGCCAACCACCACGTCCTGATGATTTGAGCACTGTGGAAGTGATGGGATTTTATTTTTTTAAGTGTGATCTTGAGGTAGCTGTTCCTTATAGTTAAAGAAGTGCATAGATAAAAATAATAGCTATCCAGTTACCTTCCATTTAATTTTTGCAGTGGGTTATCTGCCCTGACAGATGCTGAGCTTGATCAGCAAATCCTTTGCCAGGGCATCTTGCTTTGCTTGCTTTCAAAAAGGAGCATAAGGCAATGTTTCTCCACATTTCTGAATCAATACTCCTCTCTCAACTTACACTACCTTATAGTTTCGACTTGTACTACCTTACGAGTAGCAACCCTGTCAAGGTAAATTTACAGGCCTGAGCAGAATAAAGTATATTAATGAGCAGCCATAATGAACAGATGTGTAGAAACTGAGTCATGATGACTCAGCAGTGTTGACTCATGCATGATGCAACACATGTGATTGGACACAAGCAGATCTGTATATGTATGCATACAGGTGATTGGACACAAGCAGATCTGTATATGTGTGCATATGTGAAACTGAACAGTTGGTGTATCTTCCTGCTTTGTGATGAATGCTACCTTTTATGCTGCCAGACTGAACTACTGTAAATACAGTATCTTGTAAATACACGGTGGGGGTGGAGAACTTGCTGGTGTGTGCGTGAGTTATTCTGGACTACCTGGACTAATCAATACTCTGCTAAACCTGCTGTTTTTCCCCGCATTTTTGTGCTGACATACCCAGACTGGCAACAACCCCATCATCAGACAGGCATGCAGAATCCTTGCATGCAATCCATGTAGGCAGCCTCTGATGCACATATACGATTGGTAGACTGGGAACACTGATCCGACATTGGCATTAGAAAAAAGGACTAGAGTAGGGCCTCCCAGGTTAGTTCTATAGTCAGCTAGCAAAGAAAACAAACAAAAATATGTTACATTTCCTGTGTATTCTTCCATGGGCATAGATGCTCCTGCTTATTCTTTGTATCTTGCAAGGTTACCATAATGAGTTTTGTGACTGCAGAGAGAGCAGAATCGTTTGATTCTACCTGCTACAAGATCTTATACCTCAAGGACTGCAATTCTCTTCCTCTAAGTAGGTTGTCGGATAGGGGGAACAGCCTGCAATCTTAAAGGCACTGTCTTAAGGTTGAAACAATTCACCTGCCATATAAGACTAGCATCATAGATCTGGAAAAAAATCATTTAGTCCAGTCCTTATTTGCCTCCTTCACCCAGGTCTTGGCATGAGACTGAGCACTAATATCTCTTATTGAAATGCCTTCAGATAGGGGAAACCGAGTGTTTCTTAAATTATTATTATTACAATTCCAATGACCTGATGGCCACTAGTTCTGGGAGGTGTAGTAAAAAAAATCCTAACATTTCCCATCTCAGAGATACTCTACTTGTTATGTAAACTTAACCAAGATAAAACACATATTGATAATCTTCCTTGTCCGTCTGTTTCTTTCGCGCTTCAAAAAAATTACATTTTCAAAAACCAATAGTTGATTTGGTTGAAGGCTTCTGGAAGCTGTAGTTCAGACCAGATACGTACTTTTCTGAGAATTTTATATAATTTAACGATTTGTAGATACGAAATGTGTGTTTAAGTGCTTGTTTGTACGCATATATAGGGACTCAGCCAAAATTGGCCTTCAAACTGACAAATTATTAAAATAAAATGGATACCTGTGGACCAAGTGATCCCTGACTATTGATGATATAATCCAGGTCTCAGGCCCATTCCTTTGGTGGGAGGGGATCAGGTGAAGGAGCCGCTAGTGGTTTCAGGGATTGATCCAAGAGAGACACTCCATTTCACAGAAACAGCCCTTCCTTTCATCTCTGGTCCTTACCGGTCCCTCGGACTTTATGATATCTTAGGTCACCTCGGGTCCCCCCACTGGGAGAAAGGTGGCATAGAAACAAAATCAACAAACAAATAAAATATCTTCTTGATTCCAGGCTGTTCATTCTTGAGGGGGCGGGGCCAAGGGACCATCAGTGGAGACAGAGGCTGGGTATAACTTTGGATTTTCCGTTTTCCATGGCTGTAACAAAATAATACATCACCCAAACATGTTGTCACATTTCTTTTGTCTAAGATCTGGTCTTTTCAGTAAAAAAAACCTCTGTCGTTGTTTTGTACAAGGCACTGGTGTATTTGTGGAATGAAAAGTTATTATTATTATATTATATTATATTATATAAAAGATACAAGCTTTAACAAAAAACCTAAGTATCTGTTAAATATTGGTGCAGTACGTATGCTGTTCCCAATCCTGCCATTTTTGGTAGCTCTGTTGTTGTTACTGCTGCTGTTGTTTCGCCTTTAGTAAGTATAGAAATGAAATTGTTTTTTTCTTATTTCTTTAATGTCTTATTTGTAGGAAAGAGAGATGTACCCAAAGGTTTGGCAATGAAATCATCCAGAAAGGGGCAACCTCAGATAGAAGAGAGTGACAGGTAAGATCACCTAATGGGGGAAGGGGGGCAACACAGCATACTGTATGG